ACCAATATTGGAGAGACCAGTATCCTTAGCCTACCCTTGTGAAAACATTGTAGAATCCCGCATAATTACTTTCCGTGGTAAACTTGTTCTCTTATTTATTATGTGTTCATTCATTCGAAGACGTAACAACTTCCAAGGCTGACATATGCACACGAAGTTGTTCTCCTAATGAAAATGAAAGTAAGATTGGCTAGAGTGGCATTTCATGTAATACCCCTAATTTTAAAAGGATAGTCCTGTCATTTATTTAATTGTTTAATCTTTTATTTAATTGTTTAATTGTGTGTTGGCATTTATTTAATTGTTTAATCTTTTATTTAAATTGTTAATTGTGTGTTCTTCCATGGTTATTTAAATTTGTTTTTTTTGTTTTAATTAATTGATTAAATTGTTTGGTTTTCTTTTATTAAATTATTTTAAATTAAATTGTTTTATGGTGTTTTATTTGACTTAATTAATAATTGGTTTTATTTAATTAAATTGGTTTAAATTAGGATTGTGTTTTCTGTTTATTCACGTATTGGCAGACATAGGTTATAACTTAGGTTATTCTTGGGCCGACTAAGTATTTGAGGAAAAAATACATAAAACTCTATTCCCGTATACAGTGATACAGAGAATTGTGAGAGCAGAGAAACAGAGAGGGAACTTGCGTATTATACAGAGAGGTTCAAGGAAGGTTGGACGGGGTGTTTTCTAGGTTGAGCCAAGAGCGTCGAAGGAGTAAGACAGTAGTCGACGACGTTGACGGACAATTCAGAGACGGAGGTTTAGAGTTTCAAAGTCTGAAACTCAAGGCAAGTCTCTGTTCCACTCTATCCCTTTAATCTGTGTTTTGTGCTTGCTTAGGAAGACTCCAGTGATTAAAATAAGTTTTAAATACATCTTGTATGCATGTTAATCAGTGTTTAAAATTATTGAATTAATCTGTTTTGCAGTTATTTAAAATATCAGTTTTGAATCCTACTGCCGTTGTTTAAAAAAAAAACTGATGTTTAATTAAATTCAAGTTTTGATTGTGTACCATTGTCTTGTGATTAATTTGGAACTGGGATGGAACTTAAAACATGTAATAAAAGTTACCACAGAGGACTGGTACTCACGGGAATCGGAGAAGACGAAGTTTAAACGGACAGAAGGCTGCTAAGGGAGGAAGAAGAGGCTTCCAAAACCCTTAGAGCCGGCTCCCAAAGAGGAGGAGCCGGCTCTTAGTGCACTAGAGCAGGTTCTAGTAAGGCTAGAGCCGGCTCTAGATGGGAAGAGCAGGCTTTACTTTTTTTTCTAGAGCCTGCTCCCTCTTTAATTGGCCAGAATGTTGATTTTAGGGTCCGTTTGGGCTGAAAATTGGTTTTCTAAAATCATTTAAAAGCTACTGGAGAGTGTAAATCATTGCCAAAGACTTATAAAAATGTTGGGAAGCATGGTTACAAGTAGGTATGGAGGATAGAATTAACTTTAGTTTAAACAGAGAACCGTAGGAGGATGATTGAAGAATTAATTTTCTTTTGTCTATTATTTTTGAAATTTTGTTTTCTCTGTATAATCTTAAACTGCTAGTTATGTTTTTATTATGGTTTAAGCATATAGTAGTATAATTAGATGTAGATATGGATGGAATTAACTGATGATTTAAACTGGATATAAATTGCACCAGTTATGGCACTGTTTGGAGAAATAAATTGCATGCTTTTGTTTTGTCATTTAACGGACTGGAATTGGGATTTTTATTTATTACTGTTTTAATTATGTTTAGACAGTTTTATAAGCATAGTAAAATTCTTGGAATTATCTATGTTTGGTTGGAAGTAATTGATATAACAGTTTAGTTAATTTTATCAATTAGTGAATTTGATGCATGCTATAAATGCTATGTGTTATAAATAACAAATTTAATGGTTGGAATATAATTTCTAGGCCTAGACTGAATGCCTAAGTTTTATAATTATGGCTTAATTTGGTTTGTGCATAATTTGGGAGTTGGGTTGATGACTATCTAGTACTGTTTTATCAACTCTGTTAACTGGAGGATGGTATGTACCGGTATGGGACGGTGACATACTAGGTATGGACTAATTCCAACATTAATTCCTACCTAATTTGGATCAAGGTATGGATTAATCATAAAGGTTAAGTCCATCATCTACATGTGTCATATCAGTTGTGAATTGAATGACCTACTAGGATTTCAGAATGGATTTGTTGTACATATATCAGACCACTACACAGATGGATGGTATACTGTATTAGGAGGAGTACGGACTTTATATATATTATATGGTGCCGTGGTATGAGCTTGAGTCTCATGACCATGGTTAGGGCTCGTATATCGCCTAGGATGGATAACTGGACATAGGTGTTGTTCCCTGGTAGGTCTAGGTACTCACGCCCACCTTAGGGTGCGTATTTGCATGTTGCCTTCTATTCAGGCTGAGACAAACCTACTGGACTAGCGAGCGTCCTATAGTGTGTACTATATACTTATATGGACTACTCTAGATATTGTTGAGTCTTCCTAGGATGTATCAGCGTATCGGATTACTGTTTGGATTGTAGTAGATCAGGACTTGCATGTGGGCCTGACCCACTTCTTTTTTTTTCAGGTGTTCGTCAGTTTTAGGGTTAGAGCTTGGACGTGCAGAGTAGATACAGCTATTCATTCATCCGATTATGTAGGAACCTTCTCTATGTTAGCTTTGGATTTTATTTTTATTATTTCAGTATCTTTTGGAGAATTTCAATAAGGGGTCCAATGGATGGATTCCCGAGTTGTAAACTTATGGAGTTTTGGATTGTTTTGGATTTCAATATTTATATCTTAAGGATTTTCAGTTAGCACTCTTCCAGCTTATTATTTTTATTTCTTATTTTATCTTGTATTCTGTGTTCGGTTACGTATTAATTGTTTGATATTCCCTCGGGCTCGGGTCTGGGCCTGATTAACCAGTGTCTTGGATCCGAGGGGTATCTCATTTCAAAACAATTTGAATATATGCATTAAAACCAGACACACGCGTACAACCATGCTTATTGTGGTGGGGTGACATTCTTGTCAAACCGTTGTAATAATGAGCTTTCTACACTTGATAGATGGTTCTCGTATGATCTTTATGATCCTTTAGATACTTTGCAATGTCATTTCCATCACAGAATGTACCAGAAGCTTGTTCATTTTTTGAGTTGTCGCCTTTTACATGTACATTAAACATATCACCTTTTAACTTGTGAATATTATCATTCCGGTCATTTTTGATATTTTTCTCCTCTAAAATCAATATTGACCACTAGCCTACAAAATACAAAATGGTCATTTTTAAAAAACCCATTTTTCTCGAAATGGTCATTTTCATTACTTTTTCAACATGAAAAACTCATTTCTCTCCACTTCGCTTGAAATGTACATTTTTTCAACTCTTAAAAAGCCACTTTAAGAGAGGTGGCATTCTCAATCACGAAATACACTTCTTCATTTCAAGTCCAAAACATCAATCAATTCAATGCGTTTTCCCAAGACACATTCAATCATCATTCCAACATTTTAATATTAAGAACACATACATTCTTATTTCATCCTACATTTGAAGGTTATTAGTGTGAAAGAATCATCGTGGTCATTAGTGACTCATTCAACTTCACAATATATATGATAATTCTATCAAATAGCGGATCTTAATCGACAATTTAGAAACATTATTTCCAAAAGCACCTTTAATTCCAATCATAAATCCCAAGAGCCTTGACACTCTCATTCCATTTCCAATTCTGAGGGCACGTAAATCTTCATCTCATTCCGAATTTAAAGATTTGGTGGGAAAGAATCATCATTGTTATCAATGACTCCCTCAACTTCACAATGTCATAAGAAAGTTGCCTAAGGAGCATCGGTCCCAAGTAGGAATGTCACGATCCTACCCACTATTGGGAACTTTTTATGTGTTGATGGATCATGGTCATTAATTCGGAAACCTTCTTTCAAAGAAAACACTTTTGGTGCAAATCAAATCATCCTCGACAAATCATATCATCATTATTCTCATAATAATCCTTCAAATCCTTTTCACTCTACGAGAACATCAACATTCTCATCTCATCTTTCCGCTTTTATCTGACAGCAGTGTAACTAATACGAGGTAACATAGTAGTTTTTTAAAAGAGTCCTGCTAGTTACCCTAACAAATAAAAACCGACTACTTCACCGAGTCTTTGTGGCTACTTATGTGTTACAAATAATGGCCCCATTTTAAAAATATAAGGTAATTAACTATTTGGAAAGTTGTAATCCTTTTTTAGGTTTTATCTTAATCTATATCAAATTACCATGTATATCAAATTATACATCACATTGCATCTCTGTAACGACTCTTGAGAGATATTTCAAGTTGCATGTCTTATATATAATTAGATTATGTATCCTTATATATAAAAGATTGTGTCTTTGATCATTAATGTTCATCTATTACTTTAATATGAATTTGTTAGTTGGTATAGTGATCAAAACTAATAATCCATATGACTCACAGAAACAAAAGCAATGATAGGAGTTCAAAAAAAATAAAACAAAATTGCAAAACACTGAAAAATTATACAAACATTGTAGTTTTTATTCTAGATTTTGTAGAAATCAAATTTTTATATTTGAGTACCATGAAACTTGCTGTGAAAACCAAAAAAAAATAAAATGATACAGTTATATATGAAAAACTATAAAGATAAGGAAAAGGACTATGAAAAATTGAAATGATAAGAAAGGGAAAATTAATGTATTTTATGAAAACAAACTAAAGTAGTAATGCTGCATATTTAAATTAAAATTTTGTTATATTTTTATTTGTATCAATTTTATATCAAATATTAAAGTCGTTAATAATATAATTTTTCTTTAAAAAAATCATTTTCCTTTTTGAGAATTTTCACGATTATCTGCAACACGGGGGCTTTATTAGTATTTTGGACAAATAGTACCGTGTTGGTTTTATTTTATTTTATTTATTTATTTTAGTATAGCTTGAAACCCCAGAACAACCCCCCAAAGTACAACATATCCACTGATGACTAGGGTACATCTGTATCTGGGTTTCGAGCCTCAGTCAATGAGACGGGCTGATTAATCGTCTAGCTTCAACCCTGATTGTTGCAGGGCAGATAATCGCAGAATAATGATTGGACAATGCTCGATTTCACCATGGAAGGAGGTTCGGTTGCTTCAGAGCTTCAATGGCATACAACAACTTGCTGAAACTCGTCCTTTCAAGGTAACACGGTTATATTTGAGGGGAAAAGAAAAAAACTCTTAGCAAACTAACTACTCGTACTGTCAAATTTTCAATTCCTTACCAAATTTTCGTTCTGCTTATATTTCATATCTACAATCTAATCATTGCTATTAGTATATTACCGACTAGTGTTTACTCAAGTCCTGTGGTGTGCATATTACTATTGCAATTCTTTTGGTTTACAAAAAGGGTTTCGTTTTGGATTATTATTATTTTTAATTTCAAAGCAAGTAATCTGTTTTTATCAAAGTAGAAGCTGTTGAGAAATATAATAGTATGCCAAATGCACACCACTGTATCTTCATCACTGGGTGCCCTTTACTCGCTTGACTAATGCTTAGAATTTCTAATGGGATGCATCCATAACTGCGCATTCTCACGCTAAGTATTGAAAATGCCTTTTTGTAGCCCTTGTTTATATTCACAGTCGTATCCTCCTTTGCCAATAAAGTTAAAAAATTGTAATTAAGGGCACTCTTCTAAGGAAGAAGGATATAACCCGAGTACTGCACTAATATTATGTAATTGTATTGTATATATATCTATGTATTTATTCACTGCAAAATTTGTATCGCTGATGTGTTTGCAGGCATGGTTCTTAGATCAATTTGGAGTCCTCCATGATGGAAAACAACCTTATCCTGGTGCAATTTCAACATGTATATTTCCATCTGTTAGCTTTGGGATTTTGATAAGTCGTTTCAGGTGATCCTGTCAACTCATTTGCTTTGGGCCTGTTTGGTATGCGTTTTGTTTTTGCCGTTTTGTTTTAAATTGCAACAAAACAAGTGTTTTGTTGTAGATTGTTTTGAATAGTAATTGGAATTATGTTTGGTAACGTCCATTTGTTGCAAGATTTTTGGAAGCAAAAACATGAAAACATGTTTGGTAAAAAAATGTTGCAAGTTTAAAAAATATAATGGTTGGTTTAAAAACGTCATTTAAGAATTTTTCAATTTTTTTTACTGTTCATCACTATAGTGCGGAAACATATAAAAACACCAAATTGACATTTCGATTTTTGGCCACTATTCAGGAAACGTTTCGGCACTGTGCAAAACAAAACAATTTTTACCAAACGTGTTTTTTCACTGTTCACTGTTGTAGTACCCAACAAAAAAAAAACATTAAAAAAAAACGCGTACCAAATAGGCCCTTTGCAATTGAGTTATTCCATGTTTAATATTTTTTTCTCCTCCTCTTTCTTCTTCTTCCCTTTTTTATTTTTATTATTATTATTATTTTTTTTGGCATAACAGTAGAAAAGCTTGCAACCAGCGGTGCCAAGATGGTAATTATCAGTAACTCCTCAAGACGAGCATCGACAACCATGGAAAAAATGAAGAGCCTTGGATTTGATCCCTCTCTCTTTATAGGAGCCATCACCAGTGGAGAATTAACGTATCAGCACCTTCAGAGGTTGATATGTTTAATAATTAAATTAAACACTTAAATTACTTGCATGTAAGTTTTTAATTGACACCTAATACCATTTTGGTGGTGAAAATATTATTGACTAATTTTCACATTGCATTTGTCTGCCACTAGATCAGAGTTTACTGATATTGTTTCTGTTGGAGCAGTGGAAGCGCACGAATAAAAAAGATTCAAGGAAAGCCAACAAAACAACACACACAAACACAAGATAAGATATACATGGTTCAGCCCAAACCGGCCTACGTCCATGGATGAGAAGAGATTCCATTATGATTCGTAAAGATATTACAACAATAGAGTATCAACACCACCACTCTACAAGCCTATTTCCTTGCTACCAGTGTTACTGGTGTTTTTCCTACTCTACCATATACTACCTCTACCCATCAACTCCCTCGTGAGACTACATCTCTCTCAATCTCATAAATCTCAACCCACAACATATGTACCTATTTATAGAATAAGAAATTACCAAATAATTCCTTAGAGGCCAAGACTTGCCAAATAAGAAATTACCTAGTAGAATACAACTCTAAAATAGAATCCTAATTAGAATAGGAATTTGAGACACAATTTCTAACAATCTTCACCTTAGCTCAAATTCCATCCAGCCAATCATCGCTTTCCATGGCATTGATTATGACAATTCTTTTGCAGCTTCAATCTTGACGATACGCCTGCAAAACTGCGATTGTCCCCATTATACATTGCTTGATCAATCAAACCTCCCAGGCTCCACCTTGATTACTCGAGCTCCATGTTATGTAACCAAGTCGATTGACTCCACCTACAACTGAAGCCCGTTGTAGCACATGTTGAGACTTCTTGTGTTTTCTGGATCTCCTTCACCTTTAGCTCTGATACCAATTTGTTATAACAAACGCAACGAACCCAAGTTGAATCAAGAATCATGACAGAAAAGTAAACACGCCAAAGAACACAAAGATTTATATGTGGTTCGGCAATATCCTACGTCCACAGTTGGGATTCAGCTAAAGTTTTCACTATCTATAAAATTGGAGATTACAAGTTTTCAGCTCTCACTCTGTTTCTGTACGAATTTCAGAGTCTCTCTCTCCTCCACTCCAAACCCTAAGCGCCTTTATATATCGGGCTACAAGAGAATAATTAGAGTCCACGACTTATGAGCAAAAAGGATCGTTGGGTCATAAGTGAGTCGCAACGCGACCCGATACCAAATTCGGGCCACAATATCACAAATCTTCACCTTGACTCGAATTACGCCAAGCTCCACAATCTCCAGCTACACCTTTTGCCACCTTCACATGCCCCTAAGGACCTCAACAGCTGCAAGTACTAATCAAGTCCAGACAATGTCTGAACTTGAGTGTAGGAATGACCTTAGTTATCATATCTGCCAGATTCTTTACTGTCCCAATCTTCCTCACTGCAATAGCACCATGCGCAACCACATCTCTGATGAAGTGAAACCTGACATCAGGTCCTCTCATGGAACATTTGATTTTAAATCAAATGTATGGCACTCTGGTTATCGCAAAACACAGTCAAATCATCCTACTGCAAGTCCAAGTCACCAACCAAGCCTCTCAACCATATAGCTTCCTTCACTGCCTCTGTAGCTGCCATGCACTCAGCCTCAGTAGTAGACAATGCAACTGCGGGCTACAAAGTTGCCTTCCAACTGATCACACTCCCACAAAGAGTGAAGACACACTTTGTCAAGGACCTCCTCCTATCAAGATCTCCAGCATAATCCGAATTAACATATCCAGCAACACTCCCACACGTGTCGCTGCCTCTGTCATAGACTAACCCAACATCTGCAGTGCCTCGTAAGTATCGTAATATCCACTTCACAGCGTGCCAATGGACTTTCCCAGGTGTATCCATGTATCTGCTCACTATACTAACTGCATGTGAAATGTCATGCCTAGTGCACACCATAGTATACATAAGGCTACCAACTGTTTTAACGTAAGGAACACGAGACATGTGCTCCACTTCCTCCTCGGTCTGTGGTGATAATCGTGCTGAAAGTTTAAAGTGGGCAACCAATGGAGTATTCACAAGTTTTGATGCCTACATATCGAAGCGTTCCAACACTTTCTCAATGTATTTCTTCTGTGACAAATATAATCAACCCGCTCCTTTGTCCCTGTGAATTTCCATTCCCAATATCCTCTTTGCAGCACCAAGATCTTTCATCTCAAATTCACCACTAAGCTGAGCCTTCAACATGTTGATTTCAAACATATTTTTGCAAGCTATCAACATGTCATCAACATACAACAAGTACAATACGAACCATCTGAGAGCTTCCTGTGATACACACAATTGTCATACTTACTCCTACAATAGCCATTCCCAACCATAAAGGTGTCAAATCGCTTGTACCACTGTCTAGGAGACTGCTTCAGCCCATACAAGGACTTCTTCAGTAGGCAAACATGATCTTCCTTTCCCAGAATCTTAAACCCCTCAGGCTGATACATATAAACCTGCTCTTCCAACTTACCATGCAAAAAAGCAGCCTTGACATAAAGCTGCTCAAGCTCCAAGTCATTAAGAGCAACCATAACAAGTAACACTTGGATTGATCTATGTTTCACCATAGGAGAAAACACTTCATTGAAGTCCACCCCTTCCTTCTGTGTATAGCCCTTCGCCACTAAGCGTGCCTTGTATCTCACATCTTCCAATCCTGGAATTCCTTCTTTCTTCTTGAAGACCCATTTGCGGTCCACATTCTTTTAGCTGTTAGGCTTCTTAACTAGCTCCCAAGTCTGGTTCTTATGAAGAGACTCAATCTCCTCACTCGTGGCAACAGACCACTACTGTGCTGACTCGCCACTTGTGATGGCCTCATGATAAGAACACGACTCATCAATATTCTCTGCCACACTAAGTGCATAAGTAACCGAATCAGCATGTGAAAACCCATACTTCTCAGGTGGCCTAATATCCCCCCTAGGCCTGTCTCTAGCCATACTATAGTGCTGCAACTGTGCGTCTCCCTCAGCCCGAAACTGCACTTGCTTGTGAGTCGACCGAACAGGACTATCCTTTAACTGATCCTCTACATGCTCCACCTGCTCACTGACACCCTGAGCTTTCCTTGAATAAACTACCTCCTTTTGTAGAGTAAGCATCGCAGACTCGTGAAAGGTCACATCCCTACTAACAAGCATCTTCTTTCCCGAAACCTTTGGGCACTATAATCTATATCCCTTGACCCCAGGCTGATAACCAAGAAATATGCATTTCTCAGCCCTCGGTTCAGGCTTCCCCTCATTGACATGAGCATACACTGGACACCCAAATATTATCAGATTACTGTAACTAGCAGGAGAACCAGACCATACCTCCTCTGGAGTGTTACAGTCGATAGCAGTCGATGGAGACCGGTTCACCAAGTAACTAGTTGTAGAAACAGCTTCAACTTAAAACGCTTTGTCTAACCCTGCATTGGACAATATACACCGTGCCCTCTCTAATAGCATTTTGTTCATCCATTCTGTAACTCCATTCTACTGCGGAGTCTTCCTCACTGTGTGGTGTCTCACAATCCCGTGAATCTTGCAGAACTCATTAAATTCTCTATCACAAAATTCTAAGCCATTGTTTGTCCTCAAGCGCTTGACCTGGTTTCCTGTTTGCTTCTCAATTAAGGTCTTCCACTGCTTGAATATAACAAAAGCCTTTTGTGCTTCAGAATATAAAACAAAATTTCCGAGAAAAGTCATCAATTAGCGTCATCATATATCTACCACCACTATGTGAAGTAACCTGAGAGGGACCCAAATATCAGAATGAATATAATCCACCGTACCCTTGGTCCTGTGAATTCCTGTACCGAACTTCACTCTGCACTGCTTCCCGAAGATGCAATGCTCACAGAAATCCAGCTTCCCAGTTTTCTGACCACCAAGCAAACTCTGCTTACTCAGAACATCCATCCCCCTCATATGCCCAAGCCGCATATGCCACAATCTGGTAGTATCTAAATCTGGATCCGAAGACGATACAACAACTGAACCCGTGATTGTGCTAACCTGCACAACATATAAACCATGCTTCTTCAGTCCCTTCATCACCACAAGAGCATCCTTGCAAAATCCAAATGACTCCACCTTCAGCCTCATAAGTGCACCCGATGGAATCCAGCGTACCCAGAGAAATCAAATTATTTCTTAGTTATGGTACATGCCTGACATCAGTCAGTGTCCTCACTATGTCGTCATACATCTTGATTTGAACTGTACCGATACCTACAACCTTGCACGCCGCATCATTCCCTATAAGAACTTCTCCTTCATCAATAGATCGATAAGAGGTAAACCAGTCCCGGACAAGCATGAAACGAGCAACCCAAATCAAGAATCCACTCATCGCAAGAGCTGCCGACTGAAATTGTGAGAACATTACCACCATTTGAATCATTACCCTCTGCAACAACCACACTTTCAACTTCAGAGGATTTTACCTTTCCTTTCTTACGCTCCGGACAATCCTTTTTGAAGTGCCCTTCCTTGTGACAGATGAAGCATCTCAACACCTTCATTTTGTTCTTAAACTTAGAACGACCTTTGCTGCTAGGCTCTCCATTCTGATTCGTTCTCCCTCTAGCATGTAACCCCTCTGCCGAACTTTCTGTATTGCCCTCAAATGCCCTTTTCTGCAACTCCTTAGAATTCAAAGCTACCTTTACGTCTTCCATGGACAAAACAGTTCTGCCATACATCATTGTATGGACAAAGTTCTCGTACGAGGGTGGTAGAGAACACAATAGAATAATTGCCTGATCTTCATCCTCTATTTTGACATCAATATTATTTAAGTCTATGATGATACTATTTACCTCGTCAAGATGGTCTTTCAGAGACGAACCTTCGTGCATCTGAAGAGTGAACAATCGCTTCTTTAGATACGAGCAATTCGCAAGAGATTTCGTCATATAGTGGGACTCTAATTTTTGCCACAACCCATCAGCCGTAGTCTCT